GTGTGTGAGAGTGTGAGTGTGAGTGTGTGTGCGTGTGCGAGTGTGTGTGAGTGTGTGTGTGTGTGTGAGTGTGTGTGCGTGAGTGTGAGTGTGTGCGTGTGTGTGTTATCTGCATGGCTGAACACATGGAGAGGTCATCATCTCCTCAGATCATATAAAGGGGTTTTGTTTCGTATTAAATCATTATTATATCTCATTTCATTGTGTCTCACATCAGTTGGACCAACACTGCTGAGTGATTGATACCACGATGTAATGCACCGAAATACATTTAATCAAGTCATGTACAAAGTCATGGTACTTGTACTTTACTTGAGTATTTCCATTTTCTGCTACTTTCTGCTTTTTACTCCACCTCAGAGGTACAAATTGTACTTTTTATTGTACTACATCTCAGAGGTACAAATTGTACTTTTTACTGTACTACAGCTCAGAGGTAACTATTGTAATTTTTACTCTACTACATCTTGTTGTGGCAATTTATCATGTTGTTCTTTGAGGTGTAACTTGCATCGCTTAAACCCTGAATATATGCAGACGAGGCCATCCAAACTCATCCAACCCCAAATAATAAATGTTATCATATCAAAGGTATTTTCTATTCCCATGAAGACAATACCAAGGCTGGGACCTTGGCCTTGGTGGATGCGTAGACGGACAGAGGAGGACATCTGCGAAGGGGGGTGGGGCGAGATAATGCGCATGTAATATAAACTATTCTTTGTTGTTAGACCTCCGAACCATCTGTGGGGAAAGAGCTCTATTTCAATAAATATGTTTTGACAATTTAAGAGTTTTCTCATCACGGTTATTTCTCACTGGGAGGTTAAAAAGATTAATTTACACCACACATCTCAGAGGTAAATATTGTACTAATACATCCCAGAGGTAAATATTGCACTAATACATCCCAGAGGTAACTATTGTACTACATCTCAGAGGTTTTTTGGTATTAATACATTCTTGTACTTTTACTGCAGTAAAGGATCTGAATACTTCTTCCACCACTATATATATCCACTATATATATATATATATATATATATGATACATTTGAAGATTGGAATTTATTGCTTATTAGAATCAATTTATGTGATTTATTAAATATGTTTTTTCACAAAAATAAATGCTGATGTCTTTGATTAATTGTCTCCACTGTTATGCGCTCATCACTGCACATGAGCATCTGGGCAAAATCATGACTTAGTTTTTCTTTCTTGCAGCAGTAAAAACATCTGTGACTAAAAGAGGCGACTGGGAAAGTCCCATAACTTCCACGCTCATATCTACAGATAAAACTTCTCACTGACTGCCCCTCAGGTCTTCCCACTCCTTGTCATGCTCTACTAAGGTTGCTTTTCCAAAAATATATCTTCATTTGATATCATGAATATCATTTAAATACTACCATGATCAAACAAGTAAAAAGCCCGAAAAAAGAACACCAAAGCATCTGAAGTTTTCTGTAATCGCCTCACAGTTAACTGAAATAATAATGATAGTTTCCTGTTTCACTTCAGTCTGAAGCAAGAAATGGCTCCGCTGTTGTTTTTATAATCATTTCAGTTTCATGTTTTTAACCAGAACTTTGTTTATTCAGGAGATAAACACTTGAATAATTGATGTCATTGCATTTCAGAAGAAAACTATGAGAATATTTTATGTTAACAGAACTCCAAACACCACCACTGGGTTGACCACACCCACACAAAAGTCATAAAACAGAGAAGAAATGAGAGGCGAAAGAGTAAGATGAACTATTTCCTCTCACATCTTGTCGGTCGGTGCTTCTATAAAAAGCACAGTGAACTCACATCCTGCACTCTTGGCAGAACATAGAGAGAGAGAGGTACGTGAACACACACTTTGTCTTTCGTTTTACCCAAAAAGTGCATTTTTACAGTGAATATCATCAACACTGCATGATCGAGGAGATACCGTTAGTTAGTGTGATGGAGAGTGAGCTCTTAAACCTTTGGTGGAATGTGAATGTGTGTGACTCAGCTGTGAACTCGCTGACTGATAAAAGCTCCTTTTGAACTGTGTTTAATCCCACTGAGTTTTTCTCAGAAACTAAACTATTAGTTAAAGTGGGAGGTACACTGTTTTTGGGGAGTTTTTCCTAACCAGTTGTCTCACAATAGAGGGCATAGTGTACAGATTATAAAGCCTCTGCTCTCTAGTATTGACTTGTATAAATAGATTTGACTTTACTTCACGGTTTAAAGTCTCCACTTCATTTGACTGTCACGGCTTTTGGCCCCTAATGAAAGCAACGCCTACGTTTGACTATATCTTTTCAAACTGTTCGTGACAGTTTTCTTTTTTTTCTTTCTTACAAGGTTTTGTTGCCTAAAAACAAAGTGGTTTTGTTGCTTTACAGCTAATTTTTGTTTTTTAAGTAATGTCGTCCTGAAAACAAAGTTGTGCCAGGATTAAAATCCAAATGGCAAAGGGATTGAGTTTCAGCAACAGTTTGACCTCTTTCATCTGAATTACTGGCTGTGAGGAAACACACTATTGTTATGTGTTGACCAACAGACATTAAGGGGTCTACATTGACACTGAATCAGGTCTGGTTCTGTCATGAAAACCCCTGCTGCTGGCAAGAGTGTCAAAGAGTGTGTAATAAGTGTCTCACTCTGTTTACACCCATGTAACAACATGTTCGCTACACGATTGTATGCTAACTGATGAAAATATTAAAATCTCTTCAGCTTGTGTTAACCACAGACCTTATTTCAAAAGTCTAACCAAAACCACATTCAGAAAACACATTGACTGTGAGACGAGGGAACAGGAAGGGCAAAAATGTTGACTCATTTCCGTGTGTTTTAGGCAGTGGCGGCTGGTCAATAGAGGGCCATGGGGCCTGGCCCCACCTTGAGCCACACAAAAAAAAATAATAATAATTATAATAATCATAAATTATACAAATTGTCAATATTTGTGTTTTTGAACTATGGAATGTACCCAGTAATATGTGTAAAATATGATATCTGCGCAAAATATATGCTTTTCCTGCTTGCCCTCTCCGCCTGTGTGCATGACACGTCTCAGAACGCGCAGCTAGGGGGGCTAAATCGTTTTGTCCCAAAAGAGGCGGGTCTATGAAGCAGTTTAGCCAATTGCTGATTAAAGATATAAATGAGTGACATACAATTTAGCCAATCAGCGCCCTCAAATAGATTCAGTGTGGTGCCAAAACGATTTGGCCCCCCTAGCTGTGCGTTCTCGTCAGGAGAAGTCTCTACAGGCGAGCGCCAGCGCCAGCGCGAGCACTACTCCTCCAAGACCCGTTTGAGAGGAGAACTTTGAGGAGAACCTTCAGGCCAAAGAGCTGATCCCAGATCAGCCTGACCTCACAATCAGACAGCAGACTAGCGGGGAAGGGAAGCAGTACATGAAGCTTCTGTACTAACTGTACACCAGACAGGTTAGGCTAGCTGGATGACGTCATGCTAATAACTTATTTAGCTTTTTAAAACAACGGGGACAGATCCAGCACGGACAGTTAGGGAGTGAGGGATGAGGAGGTAAGGAAACATGAGAACACCAGGGTAGGGAGTGAGGGATGAGGAGGTAAGGAAACATGAGAACACCAGGGCACACATGGAGAACTCTGTCAAGCTACATATTAGGCAAAGTGAACATCTTTTCTTCTACATAGTTGTCCTCAGTCTCGTCTGCTTAACGTGGTCATGGAGGCATCAACATTTAGCTGAGATGTTAAATTAACAGTGAAAACTCATCATAGCTTAATTTAACATCAGTATTCATAATTACACTTCATGTTTACTTCTCCTGATCTTTACCTCCTATAACAAGGTCCATAGGGGCATCTCAATACATAAACATGTTATATTATATTATATAAGTGTTATTTACTGCTTTTTTTCATGTTGGAATAAATGTTAAATATTTAACTGCAAAGTAGTAATGCGTGTTTGATACTTTAATTTTTTTGCATTAAATCATACTGGGATGTTTGCTGAAATTGATAGGATGGCCCTACCTAGAACATTTTCCACCAGCCGCCACTGGTTTTAGGACTCATACCTGCCGTATATATCATATTTTAGTATTTTAATTCTTTAGTTATACTTAATTACTGTGGATTTTTTACTTTTTGTACTTTTTGACTTAGTTAATATTCTTACTGTTTATTACTTATTTACTTATTTATAATACTTGCTGCTCTTGTTTTTTTTTACTCTGTATCTTGTTGTCTACTTTGCTGCTGTGATCTGTGAATTTCCCCACTGTGGGACTAATAAAATGAACATTCTAATTTAGCATGTTAGCATGCTAACATTAGCTAATTATCAGTAAACACAACTCATTAGTAATGCAGGTATTTGGTCATAAACCAAAGTATAACACACATTAACATGTTGATCTGATGGTGGTGCTTGATGAAAAGTCAAACATCATTCTGAAGGGAACAAGCTGCCCTTCATAACCACATGGGGTTCCTCCTCCAGCGGTGGCCCTTTAGAGCGGGTCCATCCTGGAGTACTTCCAGTCCTCCTACACCTGTTGCCCACACACCTACATCCGTTGATAAGGCCGACTTTTTCGCCTGAAATAAGTGATACGGCGGTGGCTAGTGTTATTAAGTTATCCTGGCTTTTGCTCCCTTGAGCAGGCTAAGATGGTCTCACGTGTATATTTTCGGGGGTGCGTTCGTTACCTAGGTCAGAGGTCACTGAACAAGCCGTCTTCCATTGCTTCACTCACACTGGGTGGGGGTATCGGTTACGCAGCTAGGCTGCACACCTTTGCAGTGCTGTTTAGTTTTTTCTTATGGAATCCGTCTGAAGTATAATAATTCTCTTTCCTACAGAGATCCTGACACCAACATGCAGTACGAGTGGGCTGAAGATGACTTTGAGCTGCCCTATGGGGTATTCCCATTGGGCCTCTCTGCGCCAGTTAATAATAGAAAGTACGTCATGTACCACGGCACCACCAGCAGAAATGCTCAATCCATCCTGGCCCATGGTTTTAGCCAGTCTGAAGACGGGATGCTCGGCCGCGGCGTCTACCTCAGCAGAGACCTGCAGAAAGCTAGCGCCTATCCTAAACGTCATCCTCAGTCTGACAAGATCGTCATTAAGGTTCAGGTCAATGTGGGCGAAGTGATCGCCATCAAATATCAAGGCCACCCACGTCAGAAGACCTGGCATGACTCCAGATACGGCCCGGTGTTTGACACCGCCTGGGTGCCCCACAACTGTGGAATGGTGAGGAGCGGTTTGGAGGAGGATTGTGTCTGGGATACAGATCGAATCAAGATCCTTAAAACCATCAATCCACGTCCAGTCCAATCTTATGGAGGATATGATGCGTCGGGCTACCAGTGAGCTCTACGACATGTTACCAATTTATTTTGTATGTTCAAATGTATTTTTATATATTTGGATAAAAAGTAAATGACATTTGCATCTTGTCACGTTGTCATTGAAACCTGGAAAATAAATGGTTCTTGTTAAATATGAGTTTCTGTGTAAATATGATATGTTACATTTACCTTTTGAAATATCCGCCTCGTAAATGTCTGCTGCCACTCAAAGAGGCAAAAACACAAGGTCACAATTCAGACATGGAGGCTCAGTCTCCTGAAGCACGCTGGTCTCATCCAGCATTTGTAGCTGTACCTACGAAAATAGTATAAAGACTGCAAAAGCCACACTGGCTGAGCGTGAGTGGACAACAAACAGTGATCATCCAGCTGGGAGAGCGCTGTTCAGGCGGCAACCTCCGTTTCTGAAAAGTGAAGCCAATGCTGCATTCTCTCCAGTGTCCACCAGGGGGCGACTCCTCTAGTTGTATAGAAGACTATGAGAAAATGACTCTACTTCTCTCTTGATTTATTACCTCAGTAAACATTGTAAACATGAGTTTTTGGTCTCAATCTCTAGTTTCAAGTCTTCTTCAATACAGCATGATGTTCATTTAGTACATTATGGTCCATTTAGAGTCAAATAGACCATAAAGCAGGGCAGGGCTACACAGTGATTGACAGGTCTCTGACGTACATGGTGTCTCTATGTCACTCCTCCTCAGTCCAAATATGGTCACTTCTTGTTCACTGTTTGCAGAAAGCCAAGATGGCGACGACCGTAATCCAAGATGGTCAAAACCCTAAACTCAAGGCTTCAAAACATCCACAAACCACTGAGTGACGTCACGGTGAAAAACATACACCTCTTATGTACAGTCTACAGCGCTGTTCCCCAAGTAAAACGAGAAGTCAACATTGATGTATTCATCATGCTGAAATCTCAACCTAACTAAGTAGTGTTGTTGTCTAAACCAAACTAAGTAGTTGTGTTGTCTCAACCTAACTAAGTAGTGTTGTTGTCTAAACCAAACTAAGTAGTTTTGTTGTCTCAACCTAACTAAGATGTTTTGTTGTCTCAACCTAACTAAGAAGTTGTGTTGTCTCAACCTAACTAAGTAGTGTTGTTGTTTCAACCAAACTAAGAAGTTGTGTTGTCTCAACCTAACTAAGTAGTATTGTTGTTTCAACCAAACTAAGAAGTTTTGTTGTCTCAACCTAACTAAGAAGTTTTGTTGTCTCAACCTAACTAAGACATTTTGTTGTCTCAACCTAACTAAGAAGATGTGTTGTCTCAACCTAACTAAGTAGTGTTGTTGTCTCAACCTAACTAAGTAGTTTTGTTGTCTCAACCTAACTAATACGTTTTGTTGTCTCAACCTAACTAATACGTTTTGTCTAAACCTAACTAATACCTTTTGTCTAAACCTAACTAATACGTTTTGTCTAAACCTATCTAAGAAGTTTTGTCTAAACCTAACTAAGAGGTTTTGTCTAAACCTATCTAAGAAGTTTTGTCTAAACCTAACTAAGAAGTTTTGTCTAAACCTATCTAATAAGTTTTGTCTAAACCTAACTAAGAAGTTTTGTCTAAACCTAACTAAGTAGTTTTGTTGTCTGAACCGAACTAAGTACTTTTGTTGTGTAAACCTAACTTAGTAGTTTTCAGCCTAAACCTAAGTTTACTTTGAAGACAGACGTTTATTTTGAAAAGACTGTATGTATGTAACGAGCAGAAATTGACACATTTTGCTGACTTTCATAGGAAAACAGGAACAATGAGAAGCAAAGTTTTGTAAGATATCAAACGAACCATTGTTTGATACATTGGCCTGGTGCAGTGGTTCCCAATCTGGGGCCTGGGCCCCCTTCAGGGGAACGCCAATGATCACGGGAGGTGCACCAGGATTTGTCTGCTTTGAGGCTTTTAAAATTAGATTTGCAAATGAAAAGCTAAAATCATAATAACACACTTACTGCATCATTTATAAGTTATAATCATTAAACTAATTTTTTTTAAAGACTAACTAATTTCATACATGAAATCACTTTATTCATAAAGAGGATTTTGTTCACAGATTTGTAATTTTTTTGGTTTGATGATGTCAGAAAATGGGGAGGGGGGAAGAAATCATATCTATTTTTAGATGTTCATTCAATTAGATATCTGGCACTTGTCTGCAATATGCATGAAATCAGACTAATCTGGTGGAAAGATTATTAGAAGGCGAGCAGTGATGGAGCAGAGCAAGAGAACGGCTGGAGCGTACTGCATGTGTGTGTGTGTGAGAGAGGCTTTGGTTGTACATGCATACATAATGTGTGCGTGAGGAAGAAGGGTGGAAAGACAGTTTATCATATTAAATCATTCTCATAACTCATTTCATTGTACACTGTTGAGTGAACTGCGTAGATGAGTCAAGACTGGACTCAAGTATTTTATCAATCATTTATCAATTAATCACATTTATTTGATATTATGTTTCCACAAAAAAAAAATGATGGCTATTTTATATTACATTTGCACATTTTAAAATTATATTTATATTAGTTTTATTCTATGACTTTATGTAAAGCTGTATGTTAGAGAGATTCTCTACAAATCACATTATTATTATTATTGCTATTATTATTATTGTTGTTATTATCATTATTATCATCATTATAGTTATTATTGTTGTTCTTGTTGTTATTATCATTATTGTCATTATTATTATAGTTATTATTAATATAGTTATTTGTATTATATTTATATTTATTGTTATTATATTTATTATTATTAATGTTATTATTATCATTATTTGTATGCTGTTTATGGGATGTAGCTGATGCTTCTCTCCTTCACTGGTTCACAGACTGCAGCGACGTCATTTGCTCTAAATGACGGAATAAACGCTTTCACTAAACTGTGGAGCTGTTGAACGGCCACATGAGGGCCTCTGGTTCCGCTCTGCTGTTTTATAAACCTCCAAACCTCTCTCTCCTCATTTCAAGCCTTTGCCAAATTCCCTCCTCCCTCCTCCCGCCTCCTCTGTGCCTGCCAGTAGCCCCTCTCAGGCCGCGTCGGGGAGCATTCACACCCCGCTGTCGGCGTTTAGCGGATGGGGCTCTCAGCTTGAGCCAGAGGAGGAGGAGGAGGAAGGAGGAGAACAAGATGACCGGTAACCCGTGCGCCCGCAGGCGCTCCAAGTCCGCGCTGCTGATCGCCGCTCTGGCCGTCCTGCTGGTCCAGACTCTCATCGTGTGGAACTTCAGCAGCCTGGACTCTGCCAGCGGGGACGGAGGCGCCAGGAGCCGGGAGAAGAGAGAGGACCGAGCCGCCGCTGGGGGGCTCAACAAAGCCGCCGACGAGCACCACCCGCGGAGGGGGCTGCAGAAGAAGGGCGACCCGCTGCCGCCGCTCGGGAAGGCGGCCGTTCGGCACAAGCTGCAGGCGGTAGGTTTGAATGATATCTGCTTTTTTACACCCGTGCTTCCTCTCTGGAAAATGAGCGTTTGTCCCCGAAGGGAAGCCGCATGGTGGCTGCAGAGAAGATGCTGCTGAGCGGCTGCAGCTGCTCGCCTGTTGTTTTGGGCATTTGCGTCAACACAGTTGTTTTCTGGCCGCTTTTCGTCGCTTGTGTGGAGAGATGTGTCTGTAGGCCAAACTTCATGGTAAAAACTGCCAATTTAAGACATCGATCTGTAGCCAATATACCCGGTTAAACGGAACTCACTTTGCCTTTCCGGGTGATTGTATCCAATGTTCAGATGACTGTCATCACGCCAGGGTACACGCAGCATTTCAACATGTTTACAACTTAAAGCTAGAATCTATTGGGCTAGCTCACATCAGCCTGAGCAGGAGAACACGTTGATGTTTGCTGTGAATAAGAGCCGATGTATTGATGATATGCAGGCCGAATAACAGAATGACGCTGAGTCTATTCAGACATATCTTCATTGTTGTTCTCCATTACATGTGACTCTCATTTACAGTCATTCCAGCTTTTCATATCAATGTAACTCCAGCACAGAATGTGTAACTTTAAATGAGAGTCTGTTCCAGATTTGTGATTTAGGGGTTTAATTAAAAAACATTCTCTTGTTGATGTTAAGGGACCCTTCAGGAAACTGAGAAATTATTAAAATGATTTATTTGTAGTAATTGCTCCCCTCTGATATTAGCTTGTAAAAAGTGGTAATTTAAACATGTTGTTGGCGACATTACAAGTCAAGTCTTTCTCTCTTTGCATCTTCTACATCACCATATGTGTGTGTGTGTGTGTGTGTGTGTGTGTTTGTGTGAGTGTGAGAAAGAGAGAGAGAGAGAGTATTGCAGGCATCCATTTTTACGTCCTTTCATTACAGTTAACCGGATGCCCTGTGATCTTCCCCGTGTGTGTGTGTGTGTGAGAGAGAGAGAGAGAGAGAGAGAGAGAGAGAGAGAGAGAGAGAGAG